TCAAATACTTTGGCCACTTCACTTTGGCCACCTAATGAGAAGGAAGGACTCACTGGAGAAGAGCCTAATGCTGGGAAAGATGGAAGGCAAAAGAAGAAGGGGACGACAGAGAATGAGGTGGCTGGATGGCGTCACACTGAAGCAGTAGGTGTGAGCTTAAATGGACTCCAGAGGATGGTAGAAGACAGGAAGGCCTGGAGGAAGGTTGTCCATGGGGTCGCAATGAGTTGGATCGACTTTGCAACAAACAACAAAAAAATGGTCAGTATAGAACATTTCTGGCAAAGTCAAAACAAGCCGTTTCAAACTCAACAGCTATCTCGGGTCCAAAACATTTTAAATTTCAAATGGTTGTATGTGCATTTGACAGTTCCACTTTTGGTTTTCATGGACAATTGAAAAAATGAGACAAATAGCAGATGTTCCATTACATAAAATAGCTATCAACAGAGCATTTTCCGCAGGTGGCTAGAGAGGATGACATTGGTTCTTATCTGCCATATTTGGAGGTCCAATAGTTTGTGGACATTATGGAGTTAAATGGGGGAAAAGGTACAACAGAATTCCAAATGCATAGGATCCAAATTATCATGAGGAGAAAAATTGAATCCTTTGATAATAAACAGCAATAGCACTTAAACTTAAATACCGTTTCTACAGCCACTTTAAGTGTTTTATAGAGTCAGCATATTTCCCACAACAATCGGGGTCCTCATTTTACTGACTTTGGAAGGATGGAAAGCTGAGTCGACCTTGAGCCGATCAGGATTGAACTGCTTGTAGTGAGCTGAGTTAGCCTGCAATACTGCATTCTAACCACTGTGCTCTTGATAAACAGAAAAATATGAAAAACATACATACTTGAGAATCAACTCATATGAAATGTTTTTGATTCTTGGCAATCAAATGACAAGAAATGCTCTGAAATATAGTTTGGCTCTATCTGGAGGAATATCAGTGCTAACTTCCACTCTAAAGAAACTAGAATACGATACAATAGCAGAGTTAGAAGGGACCTTGGAGGTCTTCTAGTCCAACCGCCTGCCTAGGCAGGAAACCCTATACCATTTCAGACAAATGGCTGTCCAACACCTTAAAGACTTCCAGTGTTGGGGCATTCACAACTTCTGGAGGCAAGCTGTTCTACTGATTAATTGTTCTGTCAGAAAATTTCTCTTCAGTTCTAAGTTGCTTCTCTCCTTGATTAGTTTCCACCCATTGCTTCTTGTTAGAACAAGAAGGTGCCTTGAAGAATAGTTTGACTCCCTCTTCTTTATGGCAACCCCTGAGATATTGGAACACTGCTATCATGTCTCCCCTAGTCCTTCTTTTCATTAAACTAGACACATCTAGTTCCTGCAACTGTTCTTCATATGTTTTAGTCTCCAGTCCCCTAATCATCTTTGTTGCTCTTCTCTGCACTCTTTCTAGAGCCTCCACATCTTTTATACATCGTGGCGACCAAAACTGAATGCAGTATTCCAAGTGTGGCCTTACCATTAAAAAGTGGTATTAACACTTTATATCAACACGTGATCTTGATTCTATCCCTCTGTTAATGTAGCCTAGAACTGTGTTGGTTTTTTTGGCAGCTGCTGCACACTGCTGGCTCATATTTAAATGGTTGTCCACTAGGACTCCAAGATCCCTCTCACAGTTACTACTATTGAGCAAGATACCACCTATACTGTACCTGTGCATTTCGTTGTTCTTTCCTAAATGTAGAACCTTACTCTTTTCACCATTGAATCTCATTTTATTAGATAGTGCCCAATATTCAAGTTTGTCAAGATCCTTCTGAATCTCACAGGAGCCTTCCCTAATCTGTGGTCTTCAGGTGTTTTGGACTTCACCTTCCATATTCTCCCATCTAATATAATTGCTGGGAATTATAGAAAGTGAACAGATCTGGAAACTACCATGTTGCAGAAAAGAATAGAATAAGCCAATAAGGTTGAAATGCCAGGAATCTTCATGTTAATGAATGACTTCTCCTTAGCAGGTTTTCTGCCCTAGTGAATTGCTTCCCACTTACCCCCAATAATGTGCTGAAACTGCACCTTACTGGGCTGTGTTTGCACTCTTTCCTCCACCCTCCCCATCTTTCCAGCTTGTTCCCATACGCAATGGGATAAACGCCAGATGCTACATTCTCAAAGGTGGCACTGTGCCCTTCAGACTGAGCTAGTGGCATGCTGCATTGTGGGGTTCGTTTCATGCACCGGAGGGTATTAACCCTCTGGAGCCCCCAAGTGACAACCCAGAAATCCTCATCTTCCAAGACAATCCCCGAAACCGCTTCAAAGAAACCCCAATCTTCTTCTAATTCACTGAACCTGGATGATGGGAAGGTTTTCCGCCTCAAGACCAAGTGGGAACTCAGTCGTGGACTGCTGGTCTTCTTTCTCTGTTCTTCTCCATGGCTGGTGCAGAAAGCACCAAAGGTGAGATTTTGACTCCTGATCTAACCCATAACCCATTTTGTCTCAATTGTCATCAATAATCTTGGGTTTCTATGATGTGTGGTTGGAAGGATGTACCAGAGAATAATTTTAATGTTCTTATCAGGAGATCAGTTAAAATGATAAACATGTAACTTGGTTTAAGTTTTGGAAGTCCCCTTGTATCTCCACATGAGCATGACCCTGGAATTTGCCCCCAATGACTTAAACTGAGTGCTCTATTGATTGGGGACGTGATAATAGTTTTTAGAATAAATTGTAATTTGCAGTAATTTGTGCAGAATAAGTCATAAATTATTTGTGACACTTGCACAAACGATTAAAGATAGTTATGACAACTTCTTGCATAGATTGCAGGTTAATAATTGGTGTTAAAGACTAACAAACGGCAATTGGTAGACATTTTTCTTGGACTAAAGTCCATTGTCCAGATGCACAAATTATATCTTTATTGGAATAAATTATCTGTAGTAATTAATTTGTTAACAGTTAATCTATAGTCCATCTGTTAACTTTTTAGGTGTCTCAAGATGGACTGCACCATTGAGCCTACAAAAATCCAGATAATCACTAGATGGAGGAAAAGGGATGTAGAAAACTCTCTTTGTTTCCATCATCTGGATATTTTTCAGGCCAAATCGGGTAGCTTTACTCAGGGTTCTCTTTCCAAGTAAATACAGCTTCACATCTGGAAATTGCCCGCACAGCCTCTATTTCTCTTTTTCCTCCAAGCTCCTTTCTTTCACTCGGCATATTCTGGGACGTCGTCTCTGGACCTCTGCACTTCGTCTTACTTTGTATGGGCAGTTTGTGGCTGGCGAGACCCACAAAGAGATCAAAGAAACACTGCAAAGACTCCAACACTTGGGGGTCCGGCCTCTCCTTGCTGTCCCCATAGAAGAAGATGTAGGAGAGGAAAAAGAAGGGTAAGGAAGGAAGGGGTGATAGCAGTAGAGCAGTTTTTGAGCAGATGGAAAAAAATAAGGCAAAGTGGTCTGCCAATTCTTGACCAGATGACCACATAATCTTATTTCAGTTTTATTACAGATGTGTTTTTCACTACAACCTGAGCTTTAATAGTTGGTTGCGATATAAATAACAATTGAGGTGATAAACATATGTCACTTTAGACACCAATCTTAATCTACCTAACAGTAGAGCTTATTCTAGAAAAAAAAATGGAGAAGAGAAAAATTGTACCTAGAAGAATACATATCTGCAGAAAGAGAGTAAATTCAGGGATTGGGAGAACATTTTATGTGATCCTAATTTTGGATTTATTTTAGAATCCTTAGGATTCTGTTTTGGTCATGGGAGTTATACACACAGCAGCTCCAAATTTTTGTACAGTATAAAGGCATAACATTTTGATTCAAGTTCTTTTTTAAAAAAAGTTGTACTGGTAGATGTAGGTTTAGGTTTATGTTTAGTAGATTTATATGCCGCCCTTCTCCCAAGTCTTGCTTCTATTCCCCACAATATTTCCGGATATTATAACTATTTTAGTAATAAATAAAGAGTGAATCTCATTTCAGGTGTTATACCATTCTTCAAACATTATCCATCATCATCTCCTGGATTTGCTAACTGGCAGATAATGGTAGATGTTTTCCAATTCATCTGGTGGACATTGGAGTGAGGGAAGGTTTCTTTACAGTACAAAAAAAATTAGCCACCTGGCAGTTTGTGGGTGGTAAATCATTGAGGGGGTGTTTTATGGAGATATGGAGAGCTCACACATCTTCTGAAAAGGTGAAAAGAGTCACACATTTTTGAGCTTAAGAAGGGAAACATGATTCATACATCCTCTTCCGGTGTTTCCAGTATGTATTAAGACCATACAGAGATATCTACAACCTTGGCTTTCTGTTTGAGGAAGTGGTTATCAGTGTTAAGAGTAATTTCTCATACTTTGACTACTGTAAGCTTTGATGTAATGCACAGAACCCTGTTACTCAAAACTAGAAAAAAAATATGAGAATAATTAATTTTTTCTGAGTCTAGAGAAAAGAAAGCCCCACAAGTCCAATTGACCAGCTGAATAAAGCCTGTTTTTGTGGGGGCAGGAATATCCTTACCTTCCTCCAGCAATTTTGATTTTTGCTGGGAGATTTGGAAACTCTGTTGAATTTTCCCGGTTAAGTATTACTCATAGTCTCATCATTAATTAATATAAATCACCTCTCTCATTATAAATCAGACTTCCCTACCATGTTTCCTTCTCTAGGTCATAAGGATTCTTCAGAGTTCCTAGTCAGTATACCCCCAAGGACAGTTACTTTGGTTAAGGCATCAGGCTAGAAACTGGGAGACCATGAATTCTAGTTCCACCTTAGGCACAATGCCAGCTGGATGACCTTGAGTCAATCCTTAACTCAGCCCTAAAAAAAGCAAGGCAATGGAAAACCATTTCTGAAATCATTCATTCATTCATTCATTCATTCATTCATTCATTCATTCATTCATTCATTGAATGAATGAAAATGAATGAAATCTTGCCAAAAAAAAAAAAAACCCTGCAGAAACTTTTCCAGGACAAATAAATAAATAAATCATCAGCAAGATGGCCATGGGTGAACTTTATCTCCCAGAATTCCCCAGTCAGTGTGGGAATTCTGGGGACTGAAGTCCACCCATCTTAAACTTGACACCACCCAAATAGGTGCAATATTCCATCACATACTAGCATAGCAATCATGTGAAACCAAATCCAGAGGAAAAGGATGGCATTAGATAGATAAGAGTTGGTGAGCAACCAACAGAAATACCAAAAGCCAGATCTGAAAGGGTTCCAGTGCTACCCTTCTGCTCTCTCCTCACCAGGGAAGGGTGGTATGACAAGAATGCCCACTCCATGATTACCTGCCTGGATCTCTCAGTGGGGGGTGCCCCCAATCCCATGATGCAACTGAAGGTGACAGCCCTGATGGCAGCTGAACTTTGTGTGAGTATTTTGGGATGCCTCAAGCAGTAGCATATTGAGAGCATGGAGTTAGTTTACACTTTGAAGACAATATTAACACAATTAGCTTTGGCGTGCAAACACCAACCCAAGCGGTTGGCATTACCAACTCCTCCCAGCTCCCCACTCCCAGCAAAACAATCTGAAATGAAAGAGAAGCTATGAATACTAGCTACTCCATTGAGCGCTCAGTGCTAAACAGGGTAAGGTGGAACATGATTCCCAAATGTGGATTGGCTGATATGGCTAATTTCGCCATGCCTGCTGTGTCCCAGTTGGCTGAGGAGGCACTATCACTATTATGAAGCCAAGACCCTGCTCTTTTAATGGAAGGACGCATGGGATATTACATATTTCTTTCAAAAAAAGTGGATGGAGGCATTGTATTTGCCCAAAATATGATCTTTGGCTCAGTTACCTTGCCAGCAGAAAGGATTAAGGGCTGAATGGGTTAAGTATATTGAGGCAGTGTTTCTCAACCTTAACAAGTTTAAGACACAAGGATTTCAATTTCCAGAACTGAAATTGACAGGTCCACGTGACAAGCTTGTGTGTCTTAAAATTGACAAACATCATGATGGATTCATTCCTTTTTTTAAAACTGGTCAAACTAAATTCAGCACTTCAGGTAAAATAACCCTATAGTCCTCACTTATTGGAACTGTCATTATGTGATATGGTCGTTAAGCAAGTGACCATGATGGACTTAACAATGTCATTTCCCATTCTGTTATTAATTGAATCATTGTGGGTTGTTAAGTGAGACATAACATGACTTGCAATCTTACTGCTGGCTTCTCCTTTGATTCTGCTTGTTGAAAGTTAGCTGTGAAGCGCTTAATTGTCAATCATGTGTCTGTGGAGACATCTGCAATAGTCAACTGATTGTTGAAGTTATTTTTTTCAGCACCATTGTAAGTTTGAATGGCTGCTAAATAAGGCAGTTGATAAGCAAGGTCTACCTCCAATCCAGCACAGTCAGTTCTCATATAATAACTACCTGAGGCAGACATCGTTCACAAATACAGTGGTATTAAATGCTAGTAAATGGTAGTAAAAAATAATTTTACAATCACTTATGTTCAAATATCTGTGTCTAACAACGTCAGAGAGTCACACTGGAGCTGCTGCAAGAAAGAACTTTTGTATAAATGAGGCACCAGCAACCAGTGGTCATGGTAGGCGCTCCTTAGTGTCATTTTAGTGAGTATTTTGTTCAGTGACCATTTTTCTGGAATAAAATGTGACTATTAAACAAGGAGAGGGTGTAAGTGTGCTAGATTTCAGCTTATGGGAAGGAGATTTAAGTGAAAAATTTGCAAAGCTATAATACAGGTAATATTCAACAATTTGCTTATTGCCCGGTTTAGTTATTGTTTAGTGAATGGTTGTAACCGTTCAAAATTACAAAGACACTGAAAAAAGTGACTTGCGTTGTTTTTCACATTTACTACCATTGCAACATATCCATAAACAAGTCTCCAAATTTGGACCCTTGGCAAACGGCTCATATTGATGTCCTGGGATGATGTGATCACTCTTTGTGACCAGACAAGCAGAGTCAAGAGGAAGACAGATTCGCTTAAGAACCATGCTACTAACTTAATAACTGGCAGGAAAGGTTGTAAAATGGGACAAAACTCACTTAACAAATGTCTCAGCAACATAAGTTTTGGGCTGTCTTGTGGTCGTAAATCAGGGGCTACCTATATTTCCTTGACTATAAAAAAGTCATCATTTTGGTTCCTAATTCTGCAGTATGAGATGAGAATGAAGACAAGTACTCTGATTTTATTTAGCATGGATTTATTCTCTCTCTTCACAGAAAACAATTACCCTCTGTTTACAAAACAAGGAGGGGATATCGGACCTCAGCATTGAAAAAGTCATGGCTGCCATGTCAGGACATGTGAGCAGATCCCATTTCATGTTTTCTTATCTGTTTCCCTGTTTGTTTTGATTCTATCCTTTTCACTCTCTCTATGGACAAAGAATTGTTTTTTAAATGTATATGTTGTCTGTTCTCTTCCATTACCAGGAAGTTGCCTTCAGCTGCTTGTCCCAAGAAGAAAACCAGCATTTCCAAAAATCATTGAGGCGCCTGAATTCTGTAGCACAGGTACCAAACCAACTAAAGTTTAACCCATGACATTTACATTGGTTTAGGCCATGAAGTTATGAAAAAATAACTCATTCTGACAACAGTATTAAAGCTTGATGAGCTGTGGTGGTGCAGTGGTTAGAATGCAGTACTACAGGCCACTTCTGCTAACTGCAGTTCGGTAGTTTGATTCTCACCAGCTCAAGGTTGATTCAGCCTTTCATTCTTCCGAGGTTGGTAAAATGAGAAGCCAGATTATTAGGTGCAATATGCTGACTCTTTAAACTGCTTAGAGAGAGCTGTGAATTAGTATATAAGTCTAAGTGCTATTGCTATTAAATTGCAAAGTCATAACCTGAGTTGTCAACAACAGATCCAATACTGAAGCCCAATAATTGGGTTGTGCCCAATTGATTGTTTTAACTCAGCTGTTGTCCTTTGGACAGAGGCTTATATGTTCCTTGCCAAACATTAAGAATCAAAATCAACCTTAGCCTTACAATTAGATGGAATGAGCTTCCATAGTGGCATTTAAAAAATGGCAACCACGACCTCATGATCAGTCCTGTCCCTTCAGTATGTATGTTGCAGTTGATTTTTTTGAATCCCTTTGCCCTTCTCTCTTTTGTGCAAGAGGCTAAAAAAACAAAACTTGTTTATCCTGATTTCACTGATTGAGAAAGGTGATTGTGACCTTTTCAGTAGCCAGAATTTTTCAGTTGTGGGATAATGGCCCTATTCCATTCCTTGACGTGCCAGGTGTCAGCCTTCCCAAGATCATACAAAAACCCAGATTCAGAAACAAGACAAAAAAAGTTGGTAATATTTTGAATGCACAGAAGAATAGAACAGAACAGAACAGAACAGAATATAATTTTTTATTCGTCAAGTGTCATTAGACACACAAGGAATTTGTCTTTGGTGCATATGTTCTCAGCGTCCATAAAAAGACAATATACATTTGTCAAGAATCATAAGGTAGTTAATGATAGTCATAGGGTACAAATAAGCAATCAGGAAACAATCAGTATCAATTTAAATCGTAAGAATACAAGCAACAAAGTTACAGTCCTGCAGTCATAAGTAGGAAAAGATGGGTGATAGGAATGATGAGAGGACTAATAGTAATAGTAATGCAGCCTTAGTGAATGGTTTGACAGTGGTGAGGGAATTATTTGTTTAGCAGAGTGATGGCGTTTGGGGGAAAAAACTGTTCTTGTGTCTAGTTGTTTTGGTGAGCAGTGCTCTGTAGGGGTGTTTTGAGGGTAGGAGTTGAAACAATTTATGTCCAGGATGTGAGGAGTCTGTAAATATTTTCATGGGTCTCTTTTTGACTCATGCAATGTACAGGTCCTCAATGGAAGGCAGGCTGGCAGTAATTGTTCTGTAATTCAGTAATTCTGCAGTTCTGATTATCCTCTGAAGTCTGTGTCTGTCTTGTTAGGTTTCAGAACCAAACCAGACAGTTATAGAAGTGCAGATGACAGACTCAATAATTCCTCTGTAGAATCACAAAGGATTGCAGTTGCAAAGAGAACTTCTGGTTTGAACAGGATGAGACGTATGGCTGATATGGGCCCTTTCCTCACTATTGAATTCTTTCTCATTCTTGAATCAGCAAAGAGCTTTCCAGCATAAAATTTGCTCTCCCCGTTGGTGATCTTTATCCTGCATCTACCACCTTTTCTTTGTGTTGCTGCCACATATCTTGATGACATAGGTGTAAGTTGTGTGAAGGAAAATAGTTGGTGTTGTCCTCCTGTTTTCTGAATGTCATCAGCTGGTGGGAAACCATCCAGAAATCAGGATGGGCTGGATTAAACTTGGGGATATAGCAAGGTTTCACAGATGGTTTCATCACATGTGTTAAAGAAGGAAACCGCATAGGAAAAGATGCAGAGATGGCTGCTTTTTTCAGCATGGAGAAGAAGAAGAAATACTACTATCCAGTCTAGCCAGAATGGCCAATGTCATTCTGACAGCTGCAATTCAAAGTATTTGCAGGGCATACCAGTAATTACCTGTCTGTGTTTTAGACATTAGCAGGTTTACCAGATAATCAAATATACCTTTACAGTTACCTAGCAAGCAGAAATAAGTAAAGGAAAACTAGGTAAGATCAAGAATATTGTTCTTGGGATGCATAAAACCAGATTACCATTAGATGGGAGCAAAGAGACAATTTTTTATAGCTTTGTCAGAAACAAAGATGAAAGTCCCTTACCAAAATATAGCCCAGGTTTTAACCAAGTGCATTTAGAAATTCTAAACTCTTCTTACACCACATATTTGATTCTTTTGGCTGCTGCTTGAAAATATCCATCTGCAATATAATGTTCCACATCACTATAGTTGGGAGAAAATGCCTTACAGAGGTCTATTTTCCCTGTTGGATTTTGCAAAGGAACCTTCAGGAATCTGTGGTTCTTTACTATACAATAACATATTCTTAAATCTCAGTAGGTTTCTGGGGGATTGAATGGAACTAAATAAAATCTTCAGCAACCCCAGTATTTGAAGGGAGGATAATCAATCATATGTCTTCTGTATGAATCATGTGGCCTTTCTTCTCTCCATATAGTATGCTGTAGAAAAAGGAGTCCGGGTTCTGGTAGATGCAGAATACACTTATATCAATCCTGCCTTGACATTAGTCACCATCGCAATGATGGCTACTTGGAACACCCAAAAGCCTTGGATTTGGAATACATATCAAGCATATCTCAAGGTGGGTCTATTCAGGGGTGGGCTGCTACAGGTTCACCCAGGTTCAGGAGAAACCGTAGCTAACATTATGGCTGCTTCGGAGAACCTCCAAATCCCACCCCAAGCTGACCCCTCCCATCCCTTCCCAAGAGCCTCCACGTGGTTCGTTTTGGATGCGAGGTAAGTGCAGGACTCACACGGAGGCTCGGGGAAGGGGGGGAAAATGGGCCTCCTGGAAGTTCCGGAAGGCCAGAAACAGGCCCATTTCCAGACTTCCGGAGGCTGGGAGAGGCAGTTTTCACCCTCCCAGAGGCTCAAGGAAAGCCTCCGGAGCCTGGGGAAGGAACACACACCCCCCCGTCCTGGTGCAGGAGGCCAACTAGGTCAATCATGGCCATGCTCACACAGCAGCCGGGCGAGAACCTGTTGCTGACATTTTTGAAGCCCATCCCTGGGTCTATTCCAGTGGGTGGGATTCAGCCAGTTCGCACCTATTCGGGAGAACCGGTTAGTAACTTTCTAAGTAGTTCAGAGAATCGATTGTTGGAAGAAATCTCATTTTGTTTTTTTCCATTTTACAGGGCTAATCCTGTAAGGAAGGCAGGAAGGANAGATAGATAGATAGATAGATAGATAGATAGATAGATAGATAGATAGATAGATAGATAGATAGATAGATAACCTTTATAGTCATTGTACAAAATAAATACAACGAAATTGGTTTTAGCCCACTGGTGCAATCCATAACAACAAATACAAATAACATAAATTGTATAAAGAATAAAATGCAAGTAATTAGGGGAAAAGAAGAAAGAAAAAGAACAACTAGTCTTATATTTCTGCATGTGCTTGGAGTGATTGTGGCTGTGTTTAAGAGTCTGACAGCCCAAGAATTTCCTTTTTTTCCCCCAAAAAAATTTAGCTTGCTGGAATGAAATAAAATTGGCCTATGGATTTGAAGGGATCGACTTCCTTCCATTTTGGAAGTGAAACTAGCTCCTCTGTTCTGCTGATACCAAATGCAACTGGTAGTATTTTACATAGCTTTCATCATTCTGTGGTGCCCAGAGATAGGATTGCAGTAGGTTAATCTGGTGTTGAGTAGAAGACCCAAAAGGAATACTTTTCACACAAATATTGGGGAGAAATAAGAAGCATAGAATTTGTGTTGTGTTATTCTTGATAAAATGTTTTAATGAAGGAGGTTAAGTTTCCTTTCTCTGCATTTGCAAACGATGTTTATTAAAGCAAATGACTCTTGTACTGACAGCCAACGTAGATGATGTCACTTCCTAGATGTCCTGAAGCCACCTCTTTCTGTGTTTTTTTTTCTGTTGTTTCAGGACAAACACCATGATGCTGCTCACGAAATCATTGAGACAATTCGGTAGGTGTTAAGGCAAATATGCACTACAAATTTTCTCTCCCTTACGTGTTCTTTCCAGGGCTGCATCTCAAAACAGCAAGTGAGTCTTCTGATAGGGAAGAGATGAAGAATGGAAGCTTGGTTCTTGTTAGGATTCTATACTTGGTGTGTAATCTCAAATTCCCATGATACGGTATGCTTTTCCAGACAGACTTAAAATAACCCATTTCTGGGTTCCATTAAAACAATGAAACAAACGAATATAGGATACACAGGACACATAGTGCAGTGAGCCACTATTTTGTAACCCTGGTTTGTTGGCTGGATTCACCCATGTTACCAAATCATAAATTATGGTGAACAAACTATTTGACCAAGTCACACAACCTCCTAATTCAAAACCAAATCCCATTCTGATGTCAGAATGGAACAACTTGCCGCAGGACAATTCAACAATTCAATTTAATTATTTAAAACAATTTAAAAAATATTTTAATTTTTCTGATTCACATTTCTTTTTTTCCTTCCTTGGGCATCTTTTCTTTAATGATTCTATTCCACTATTTCTTTGATATTAGTGTAAAACATGTTCCACGGCAAGTTGGCCATGGTGAGTTGTCCCGTGGCAAGTTGTCATATACCCTCTGATGTTCTTACGTTGCGTGCATCTAGTCACAGATTGACTTACCATAAGGGGGACTATCCCGGTGGAAGTGGTTAATAGATTAGCAACCAATTCCCTCCTCCTCCTCCCACCCTCCCCATATTTTAATTGGGCACAGTATTTTAATCTTCACAGTATTATATTTATGTCTTTTAGCTTTTGTGTCAATTTTATTTTTTTAAGATTGTAAGCCGTTCAGAACTACCCTGTGGTATAGTGGGCAGCCAGTACATTTTACAAACAAACAAGCAGATAAATAAGGCAGCCTCTTAATTGCAGCCATAGAGTTTCCAACAATAGTCTTTCACATCACCTGCAGTCTGATTCTTATAACTGGATTTGTCAGGGATTGGACCAGGAATTCTCCAGTGCTTTCCAGTGCCAAGAATAACAGCATATCAGTGCACAGGTTCAAAGGTGTTCATGTACCTCAGTTACTGCAGCTACTAGTGAGGAAGATGATGCAATGTGTCACCTTGGTTTTTCCCTCAGTAATTATAGCTGTGCATCTACTTTGGGAATTGGATAGTAGGCAATGGACTAGATTCTCTGTAACCCAGCTTAGCATACATTGCTTGCAGTTTATCCTTTTATCCTAGGGCATAGGAAGGCATGGGATCTTTGTTCGTTTTTCCTGTTTGTGTAGGTCTGGATGCTGACAATATTTCTAACTAGTCTGCAGGTTACTGAACTGTGCTGTGTTCTGACTGAAAGCGTGCATTAAAATCAGGTTTAACCTGTCCTCCAAACAACAGATTTATTACTGTTATGTGTGAGACCTACAAAGCTTGAAATACGTTCACTGTAAAGATGATCACACTCTAGATGTATAGAGCTCCAAAGAATGGAGGCCTTGAACTCTGGTGCTAGAGAAGACTCTTGCGAGTCCCTTGGACTGCAAGGCAATCAAATCGGTCAGTCCTAGAGGAGATCAACCCTGACTGCTCTTTAGAAGGCCAAATCCTGAAGAGGAAACTCAAATACTTTGGCCACCTAATGAGAAGGGAGGACTCACTGGAGAAGAGCCTAATGCTGGGAAAGATGGAGGGCAAAAGAAGAAGGGGACGACAGAGAATGAGGTGGCTGGATGGAATCACCGAAGCAATCACTATGAGCTTAAATGGACTACAGAGGATGGTAGAGGGCAGGAAGGGCTGGAGGAACATTGTCCATGGGGTCGTGATGGGTCGGACGTGACTGCAACAAACAACAAGATGTATAGGATCAGAGCAGATCCCTTTGTAACTTTTGCAGACAGTTGATTATTTTCTCAGAATTAGGTTTAGAAAAGTGAAATTTCTCTAAAAGGACATTCAGAAAATAGAGGAAAAAGAAAGTTTTGAGAGCACATTGAAATAATTAGGTATGAACTTAATACATTTAAAACATATAAATGTAACTTAAAATTAATGCCTCATTGACATACTTATGAAATTTACAGAATAGGTTACAGTCTACATTTCTTTTAATGGTGGTTATAATTTGAGCAAAACACAGTAGCAACCTTAAAACTATGGACATTCTATTTTTGTTCAGAAAAGAGAAAAAGTGTGCAATGAACTACTGCATCATTTTTAAAGACCTTAAGTTTTACTCTTGGAGAAATAGGGATAAATAAAAGTTGAAAAAAATTACTTCTTTTGTATTAAACAAATATATAGGTACAGTTTAAAGGGCTAAGAACATATTTGATGTATTTCTGTATTCACAAATGATCTTTGATGCTTATTTATATGAATTCCTGTATGCTAGACATTTTCAGTAAATATTAACATATCTGGTCTTTGGGGCGACAAATTCTCATCAGCATTAATGCACATATGTGTGCCTGCTTGTACATGCACAGCACACGTACCTATCCATACACAGTCCAGGCACATTACTATTGATAGCAGGACTTTCTCTACTAGCCAGTGAAAACAAGACTGAGATTTTGTTTCAAAAAGAGGAAACCATGAAAGATAGTAGTGTAGTATGTTGCTTTGAAAATTAATTGTGCCAGAATAGATTCAGTCCTTCATGTATGGGAATTATTTCACCTTTAGTCTAATAGTTTGATTTTAGTAGTGCAGTCATTGTCCTAAATAGCTGCTCAAATAATCTTATCTGGATTCTACCAGTAACCTCCTCCTATCTATGCCCCTTGAAGTAACTCACTCTATTGCATTAAGTAGCATTCTCTCAAAGACCTCATTGACTCTGTTATGAATAACAAATGGCTATCTTGTAGAAAAACCACTAAATCTAAGCCTTCAGATAACTCCTTTCTTTGGCTCAGTGGGATGTGGTTTTAAGTTTCTTGGGCAAAGCAGCATTGCCTCATTCCTATTGTGTTGATGTAACACAGAAGATAGCAACCTTTTATGGAACCCTCAAGTGAAGAATAAGCTGCAAATTACCTTGCCCAATAACAGCCCCTCTGACACAATCTAGCTATTTAAAATATTATCAATTTTTGAGGTTCAGGCTTATCAAGATAGAAAGGATATGGACTTTCTACTAGGAAGAAAGCATAAACATAGGTACATCTAAGAGTTCCTTGCCTAAGTCTTCCATGAGCCAGTTTGGTTTAGTGGTTAAGGCTCCAAACTAGAAAGCAGGAAATCATGAGTTCTAGTCCAAACTTATCCATGAATGCCAGGTTTTTTTTTTTGGGGGGGGGGGGGACTTTGAGAGCCAGTCCCCTTTCTCTCAGCCCAAACCACCTCTCAGGTTTGTTGTTATGGGGAAAATAGGAGGAGGAAGGCGTATTAGGCATGTTCTCTGCCTTGAATTATTTGTGGGATTATAAATGTGAGATAAGGGACGTGGTGGCTCAGAGGCTAAGACGCTGAGCTTGTCAATCAGAAAGTTTGGCGGTTCAAATCCCTAGGGCCACGTAACAGAATGAGCGCCCGTTACTGGTCCCAGCTTCTATTAGCAGTTTGGAAGCATGTAAAAATGCAAGTAGAAAAATAGAGACCACCTTTGGTGAGAAGGTAACAACGTTCTGTGCGCCTTTGGCGTTTCGTCATGCCGGCCACATGACCATGGAGATGTCTTGGGACAGCACTAGTTTGGCTTTGAAACAGAGAAGAGCATCGTCCCCTAGAGTCGGGAATGACTAGCACATATGTGCGAGGGGAACCTTTACCTTTATTTTTACCTAAATGTAGGATACAAATAGATAAAATAAATAATAACTATGTATGACATGGGTCAAAGAAGGGAGATATGATAGAAATATTAGTTTCCCTTTTTGGAAAATTCTCTGTGTACTTCAAGAAATATCACAAATCATGGCTTAGCTAATAAACCAGGATTGGTAGCTTACTGTGCTCAAAGCCAGTCACCATGGTCTCTCCAGAAAAGGAATAGTAATTTGTGTGTTTGCCTCTTATCTCACTCTATCTTATTTTGATATCACTTCTTTCCAATGTGTTAGCCTGGTATCTCCAGGCTGAAAAAAGCCACCGCTTTCCAGACTCTGCATCAGTAGAATACAACTCATATTGATCTTTAATAAAGCTTCCATTGATGTTAGAGGGTCTGCCTATATGAGCTGTTTATCTTGTTTTTTTCTTTTAAGGACTAGCTGTTGGGGAGCAAGGATAAAGTGCTTATATGCAATTGCAGGGTTTTTCTTTCCTGCGATAAGTTATTGCTTGCCAGGATAAACATCTGTCCTTGCTGATGGCGATAAGTGAACATTTTCTCCCTTTCAATTTAGAGTTCTCCCAGTGAATAACTATCATTTTAGTTTCTATTGCCCCAGTTCTTCAGCCTTTATAGTACAGGCAGTCCTCAACTTTACGACTACCATTGGCCCCAAAATTTGTGTTGTTAAGTTGATAGGTTAGTAACCCAGTTGTTAAATTAACCTGCCTTCCCCATTGGCTTTGCTTGTGAGAAGGTCACAAAAGGTGATCACATAACCTTGCGATACAGGAACGATCATAAGTATTGAACCAATTGCCAGGCATCTGAATTTTGATCACATGATCATGGGAATGCCGCAAAGGTCGTAACTCTGAAAAACAGCCATAAGTCACATTTTTCAGTGCTGTTGTAATTTTAGCAATATTTTCAAGCAAATATAGCAAATATTGCTATTGCTATTGTTGTAATTTTGAATGGTCACTAAATGAACTGTTGTAAGTCAAGGACTACCTGTATTTAGCAAATGCCGTTTGGTTGCAGCATTGCAAAAAAACATAAAATGTTGTAAGCATCAGAAGGGAGGAGCCATACATCAATAGTTAACATTTGCTCTGAATGACGAAGTCAGTCCAAAATGGTAATCCCTGGCATCTCCAATTCCAAGGCTTTCGGTGGTGATGAAAATGCCATTTAGTACTGTCGGATTAGACAATGTTGGTCTTAGTGGACTTACATTGTATTGCAACATTCTTCTTTGAAAGAAGTGAGAAAAACTGAGCACTTAATATTGCAGGTTGCTTACATTATTCTTCATGGATGTTGTTAAGGAGGGTTCCTGAAATAATAAGCATAAAATAGATTAGTAGAAGATCCCACCTCCACCTCATCTATGCACTGGTTCTTTTGATCTGTTTTTAACTTTTGATGAGTGATGATGTAATGTTTCAGTAATTATTTTATTCTATTAATTATGGTGTTGTAAGCTGCCCAGAGTTGCTTGATAGAAAAATGGGCAGCAAACAAATTTCATTTAAAAAAAAACCCAATAAAAAAAGTTTTAATTACCTTAAATTTATTTCTTGGAGACTTGAAAATAGCCATTATGCTGAATACCTGAGAAGAATATTTCTTTGCTCCAGTTGAATAAATGTTTTTTTTCTTTTTCTCAGACCGCCAGGGAACTGCAAATGATGAATAGTAAATATATTTGGACTGGTAGTGATATTTTTAAAAAAAGCAGATAGGAATTTAGGAGAGTTGCTTGAAAGATTAATTGATCTTCTTTGTTTTTGTTTTTCAGGTGGGTCTGTGAAGAAATTCCAGACCTCAAGCTTGCTATGGAAAACTATGTTTTAATTGACTATGATACTAAAAGGTGAGAAAATGATAATCTATTTAATTCTTCAGTAGGGATAACTTATTATATAGCCGGACTAAATGCAGCAATTAAAATAGGCTTGTGAATTAGGCATTGCAGTTACAAAAGGCATCTGAATAATTGGTACCTGGGATGGAATTAGTGTCAGATGCTGTACAAATAATTTTTAAAAATATAAATAGTGCTTCTGAATATTTCTGTTATATTTTATATTTCTGTTATAGTCTGCTATACCTGTATTTAAGAGCTGAATACAGCAGCTGTTTACATAATACAGGTAATCCTTGGTTAACCGTGGCAATTGGGACCAGAATTGTTGTCACTAAGTGATAGAGTTGTAAAGTGTGATGTAACATGAAGTGCTGCTTAGCAACAGCAACTCTGGCAGTCCTGATTGCCATCATTAAGCAAGGGCTGCCTGCATCAGTAACTAAGGACCTCGCGCGATCACAACTTCCAACTTCCTGCAGATTTCCCCATTGACTTTGCTTGTGGGAAGCTGGCAGGGAACATTGGAAATTGTGTTCATGTGATTGTGGGGACACTTTTATGGCCAGAACTCTGAAGATTGATTGCAACTATCACTTGTTCAGGGACCTTTTTAAGTTTGAACAGTCACTGAACTAAACTGCATGTGGAGCAAGCAACAAGGAGCTTAAAAAATCCTTAGGAACAAGTATAAACATCAATTGTTGGCAAAGGTTTTCATCTTTATTCCATCCCACCAAATATGAATGATTGTTTGGACCCACGCAAAAGTCTTCTTTGGCTGCAGTTGTGCTTTGCAACCTCCTGCATAACAAGCCCTTCTTAGCTCCCATTGGCAGGATGTTTCAACTGCTGAGTTGCAGATTTTGGTATTGATGAATTATTTTTTCTGGATCAAAAAATATAATTTCTTTTGAGAATGTATTTTATTGCCTTTTTGTTTTTCTTTACATCGTCAGCATTTTTGAGCATATTTGCTAAAAGGTAAAAAAAAATACTTTAATAAATAATAACCACTGCATGAAATCTTCTCCCCTCCCCTTTTTTTTCTTTTGCTGCAAAACACCAAGCAGTAAATGAGTAGTCTGACTGCCACTTTGTGTTTTATCTCTTAAGGCACGTAACCAAAATTGGCATTAATGAAGGCCTTTGAGGGAATCCTGGTTTCATTGTTAGGGGTTGTTCCTTTTCCACTTCAAAGTAAATTGGAAGCAGATGTTACCAAAATAAACCATGGCAGCTTTATTTTATTTATGTATATCCCTGTTGGGAGATACAATGCAGCTTAAAGATGACTTCGAACTCTTAAAAAATGTTATTCTGCTGTGAGTTAATCTGGAGCAGCAGTCCAAAGGGTTCCCAGCTGACCTGCCAAAATAGTCCGAGGGAGCTTTAGATGATCAATTATTCTGCCATTCCTGTCAAGGAATCCTAACTGCATCTTTTAGGCAATGCTACGGTTAATAAACTTTAAGTTTCTTATATTTAGAATAATAAAACCATAGGATTGTAGAGTTGGAAGGGACTAAGGATCGTCATCCCTCTGCAGCGTTCAGGGAAACCGCTTCCATCATCATTGAGAGATGGTGGCACAGCTTCTCTTTAAATGCTTATTGGAAGTATTGCATGACTAAGAAGATGTCTGGTAGTTGAGTCAAAAATAAGTCCAATTGCTATGATTCAACCTTCAGACAACTTTACCGCATGATTTGACAATCTTCATCTGTTCTCAACTAAGAAGAGTTTTCTTCTATTTATGAAATCCAACAGCTAAAACTTATATGTTCACATCTTCTGCACATGGTTTCTGTGGCCATGAAAAGTAATTCTTGGTCATCTTTCCCATAGTTTCTCTTTCTGTACCTGAACTTTGCTATTATGTGTGCCCAAAATCTTCTTTTCCTCAGATTGATCATTCCTACCTCTCCTCACAGGGCATGCCCTCAAGTCTCTGTATCATTGCCAAATCTCTAACCCAGTGGTGAAATTCAAATTTTTTTACTACCGGTTCTGTGGGTGTGGCTTGGTGGGCGTGAAAGATACTGCAAAATCTCCATTCTCACTCCACTCCAGGGAAAGGATACTGCAAAATCTCCATTCCCACCCCACTCTGGCACTAGTCGGTTCTCCAAACTACTCAAAAATTCCACTACCAGTTCTCCAGAACCTGCTGAATTTCACCCCTGCTCTAACCCCAAATCATTGGAAATGTACAGTATTCCAGTTGTGGTTTCATTTGTGCCCAGTAGAGAGGAATAACAACTTCCTGTTTCTTTGGTACATTTCTTCTTGTAATGCAGCCCATGAGTACATTGCCCTTGTAGCAGCTGCCTCTCACATGTTCATGCTGATACATGTTCATGGACAATGACCATACTCAAATCTTCAAACAACAAACTCCCCATCTTATATGTGCATGCGATATTTTTCTCTAAATGTAATTAAGTTTCTCCCAGTTGAATGATGTCTTGTTCTTCTCTGTCCAGATCTCTTTCTGCCATCCTAAACTTTGGCTGAACTTGCAGTCAAATTGTGTTAATTGTGATAGTTCATAGTGTCTTCCTTAATTGGGTGTCCTTCCTATTGAGTATAATGGCTATGGACAATTAAAATTGTGGCCTAATCTCTGGAAGATAACAGGTTTAGGAAAGTTACTTTAATCCCCTTTCTTTGTGTTTTCTAGTAGGTAAATAACTCCTTGGGCTTAATTCATTAGAAACTTGTAATTGTTTTCAAGTTAATTATTTGTGTAATTTTTTGAATATCTTGCCTTTATCTCCTAGAAAGCCTAAGTTGTTAACAGTTCTAAGGACAGGGACACATGCGATAACCACAAATGAAAAGCAAATAGCAGATAACATTATTAATCAGATTAACTTTTAAACAGCTGTGAAACAAATAGCTTTCAAAGAAACAATATGATACATAAGGAAACTGTTAAACAGACTTCATGAGACAGAAGGGTTCTGTCCTCTATTCCGATTAAAAGAGGAATAGATATAAAGGGAATATACAAAGAAGCCTCTTCATCTGATTTCACTGGAGAGGCAGGATCCTGCAGCATTAGGAGAACCTGAAAATAAAATTTGAAATTGTAGTCACTTGTCAGTAAATACTTTTTTTTTACCAGGATACTTTCTGCACATATGCTGATTGTTGATTATTTGAACTTCACTTTTGAAAGCAAAAATTGGAGAAGTGTAGAGTTTGAGCATTGACTTTAATAAATTCTAGAATGGGGTAGAGGTAGTTTATTTTATTTTAGTTTGTATGTAGAAACAGAGTTGTTTGCATGCTATTCTTCCCTTGTGAAATGACAAAACAAATACTAAATCCTGCATGTCATTTTCAGCCTAACCAAGGACCTGTGTTAAATATTAACTGGCAGGACTCTATAAACCTTTTCAGCACACATGGGAGTATAGTTTCAGACTACAGTCGATGTCACTCCATTTTAATTCATGAGCCTTTTTCCCCCCAAGATAAGCAAAACATTTTAACTTTGACAAATTCTCTTCATGGATTAAATCTCCAGTACTTAATGCTTCAATATTATACCTAGAGGCTGTTACTATGCCTTTAGGATATCAGTAAATGCTATCCCGTTTGTCAATAATTGCACAACACAAGGAATATTCTTGGCAAACAAGATTGCTGTTCATTACCAGTTTAACTGTTTGTGAATATTGTGAGTCAATTAATCTGGTAAATTTTTCATCTGGGATTCCCACACCCCCCTTTGTGCTTTCCCTCTGTACCTTACACTTTGAAAGGTACACGGCTGTTAATTAATGTGTAGGTAGGCACGCTTACCAGATATACTTTGTTCTTTTATTAAAATTCTGTGATCTTTTCTGGCTGTGCCTCAGAATATGGCCTCTCTTTTTGCATTTGAAGCTGTCTTCTCTGGTTCCTGATCTCTCACACTTCAAAGAGCACATCACACTGAAGGACAGATTTGCACAAGTAACTGCAAGTAGCAACTACAGAAGTAGTTAGCAGCTTCAGGGGCAAAGAGATTTTCCAGCTGCTCATGTGCCCATTCCAAACATATGGATTCTAATGTTTATGGCAACTGTAGGCATATTTCTCTAGGGAAAAAAGGTACTTCTGCATTCTCATTGCATGAGTTAGATACGACATTGGGCTTTTTCCAAATAGAGGGAGTGTGCTACTGTGAATGCCACTGAGGTATCCTGGGATACCTTTTGAAAATACAAACACAACAAGAGATAAATTGGAAATTGACCACACGCCCCTTGGGATTAGGTAACAACATTGGTGGCTGTTCAGTTACAAAGGCAGGTTTATTGCTGACATGCTCCAATATGCTCTCCTGTTGTTTTGGTGTAGCTGCACAGCTCTCTGCACTGAAGCTTGAAATCTGATTATGCAGTGGACATGTGACTGCCACGTCCCTCCCTTCTTTCCTCCCCCTCCATCCTCATGACCTGAGATGATTCTTTAATTCTTTCATCCTCAGTTAGGTTGCCTGGTTTAGGGGGGAAAAAAAACATTAGTCCAACCAGCTCATATGATGAATCTTGTATGCCTACAGCAGCATTTTCTAATCTGGTGCCCTCTGGGTGTTCCTGGGATTATAATTTGCAGACTATTCAGCTAGCGTAGGCATCGGAGGGCACCAGGTTGGAAAACGAGTATCATTTAGTCAGACAATCAATTGTCCCTAGGAGAACTTCAGCAACGAATTATTTTGAAATGCTGCTTCTGAAAAATCAGAATTATTAACCGCCAATAAGGGTGCACCCGGGTCCATACATTATAATGCCGACATGTTAAACAATGTAGAAGTTAGTGAATTGTGCTTTCTTAATTGTTTTAAATGTTTCAATAAAACATAGGTTTCAAATGAAAATTTTATTTTATTTGCAGCGCTCAAGTTTCTATCCTCTTATATATGATTGAGTCCGTGTGAACTCAGAACTAATTTCTGAATGTATAGGACTATGTCACAAGAGTATTTTTACTACAAGTTTTTTTCCAGACAAATATTCCAGTTGATTTACTTGTGGCTACTGGGACTAGATTAGATGTATTTACTGACATCTTGTACATACATACATACATACATTAGAAGATACTTCAGAAAAACTTTCTGGAGAGTTGTCCAAAAGTATAATTAATACAGTTTCTATAGGATGTTTGTGGCTGGGCAGACAATTGTAAGAATATTAAGAGAATATGTATTGGCCTAATTTACTCTTGTCTTTGTGTCTCATTATTTTAGCTTTGAAAGCATGCAAAGACTTTGTGACAAATACAACCGAGCTATTGACAGCATTCATCAGTTGGTATGTGTTCCTCTCTGTTTTGTTTTTGCATTTTGTTTAGCCAGTTGGTTTCAAGGTCATCAAGCAGTACAGATCACTTTGCTGATTCTATAGGTATAAGATTACATAGGTATAAGATTTTAAAAGTGGCTCACTAACCAGTAATTGTCTGATTTAGGACCAATCAATAGCTAACTAGCAGCCAAATCAATCCCCCAATTTGGTATTTGAGGGGTGAATAAGGAGATTTCAGTCTTTACCTATCTGTCACCATAAGACTTAAGTAATCTTGCTGGACTCCTTCTCAATTCCAGCATACTATTTTCAGCATTGGTATTCTTGATTGTTTTGTTTTCAAAAACATATGAAAATAAACATCCATGCACACAGGTAGCCTTTGAATTAAAATGATTGGTTGCTTTGTGACTGTTTAAAGTTTTGACAGACCCCTCAAAAAGCTATAGTTTTGATTTTCACCTTCTCCAATCACATAATAGATTGGAGTGATTTATGACCGTGATTATGCTTTTTTCTCTCTGGAAACCAGCATTCCCAGTTTCTGGGAAGAAAAGCCCTATAATGAACAATGTGTTTGCTTAATGACCACTGAATTTGTTTAATGACTGCCACAAAAAACAAAAAGGCATAAAATTGGATTCAGTCACTTTACAACTCACAATTTATAATAATAATTGCCAGGCTCAATTATAGCAATAGCATTTAGACTTATATACCACTTCACAGTACTTTACAGCCCTCTCTAACTGGTTTACAGAATCAGCATATTGGCCCTCCAAAAAGTTTTGGGGCATTTTACCTACCTTGGAAGGATGGAAGGCTGAGTCAACTTTGAGTCGGTGAGAATCGAACTCTTGGAGTGAGCAGTGAGTTAGCCCTGCAGTACTGCATTCTAACCACTGGGCCACCACAGCTCTTAGATGTGAATAATGACATAGGAGAGCAAAGCAATATTCCATATTTTAATATTGGAATATCTTAACTTTTAATTTCAGCATATGTATACCACTTTTGCATAAATTACAATAAAATGATATAGACTATAATAACATCAAATATTGATATTAATTAATTAAAAATATTCATTGTAGTAAGTAAAACAAGTGAATAAATAGACAAATCCAACATTTATTTATAAATTTATGTTTATATTACCTTTTGTGTAGAGGACCTTGGGGCGTAATACTTGGTTAATCTCTTTTCTCCCACCCTTTCCCCATTTTGCCTTAAAGAACATTGCAAAACAACTTACATTGAGAACCAGAATGACTGGTGACCTGCCAAAGTGGTGTGAGGATTTGAACTTGGGTCTCCCCAGGAGCAAAATGATAATCCAGAAGACTTTTGCCTTATAGATTTGCCTACAGTTTGATAAAGTTAGAACAAAAGCTGGGCCTGTCAAACTGATTTTAAACACCAGACAAACGTGAGACATAGTAGCCATTAACATAAGTGTCTACTGCATAATGTCTGCTGCATTAGAGGAGGAAAGATTGATCCGTGACAATTAGCCATGATGATTGTAGGGAAGGATTATTTTAGAGAAAGCCTGTCTTTGAACATCAGTAGCTAGGGGCACAAATGACCGAAAGCCTGTGGCTTTCAGACTTTGTTTATATCATTTTCAAAAGCAACTTTTTTGGCCAACATAGAATATTCCTCAGCTCAGGAATGCTGAACAATGGGGGTGGGGGAGAGCTGCAAACCATAGCTTGTTTATTGTTTAGAAAGCACAGACCATGATTATATATGATGTCCGTTACTACCAACAGTACACTTCGTAAGAATTTTGGTAGCATACATCCTTAATTAGCAATAGCAATAGCAGTTAGACTTATATACCGCTTCATAGGGCTTTCAGCCCTCTCTAAGCGGTTTACAGAGTCAGCATATTGCCCCCACAGTCTGGGTCCTCATTTTACCCACCTCGGAAGGATGGAAGGCTGAGTCAACCCTGAGCCGGTAAGATTTGAACCGCCGAACTGCAGCTAGCAGTCAGCTGAAGTGGCTGCAGTACTGCACTCTAACCACTGTGCCACCTCAGCTCTAATTAAAACGGGTTAGATGTAAGTTGACTATACTGGGATGTAATGTTTACATGGTAAGTCTCCCCTGTTTCCCTGAAAATAAGACCTCCCCAGATAATAAGCCCAATCGGGCTTTTGAGCGCATTCAATAAAATAGGCCCTCCTCTGAAAATAAGTCCTCCCCAAAAATATTTAAATGCATGTCAGTCCCTGCCATTTCCTATTGTTGCTTGCTACACAAACAACACCAGATGAGGATGTGAGGCTGGAGGGGGGTAAAGGGAGCGGGGAACATGCCTCATGCACCCCACACCATACCTAACGGCTGCTCCCACAACCCTAGCCATTGTGCTCCTTCTGTCATGCTACTGGCTGCCGCAAAAAGAGTGGCAAGCCCAGCAACATGCAACACAGCAGCAGCCATGAGGCGACCTGGTTCACCGCCTCCTTCCCCTCAGAAATAATAAGACCTCCCCCAAAATAAGGTGATGAGATTACTGGATGAGATTATTTGTATATAATGTGATTGTATGGCACTTTCTGGGTCTTTTCCTGTGTAAGATTGAGATTGTCTTGGCAACGTTTCGGCGAGGTCTCACTCATCATCCTCAGGCTGGTGTTTTAGCCAAAAACACCAGCCTGAAGATGGCGAGTGGGACCTCACCGAAACGTTGCCAAGACAATCTCAATCTTACCCAGGAAAAGACCCGAATACAACAAGACCAGTATACCTACACCCGTGAAAATCTACGCATACACACACACACACACATACACACATACCCCTATTGTCTTGACAACGTTTCAGCGAGGTCTCACTCTCCATCTTTAGGCCGGGTTTTGGGCTTAAAGTGTGATCGGAGCTGCCGTCTTTCTATAAATCTTGGTGGGTGGGTGTGGAGTGCTGGCTTTGTTTCATTAAGTGGAATGATTGGTTGTGTGGTTGTATCATGATTGGCTGATTGGTGCTGGCTGTGTGCCTATTGTTGTTTCGTGTTGTAACAGCCTGGGTGATGGGTGGGGATCACAACCAATCATTCCACTTACTGAAACAAAGCCAGCACTCCACACACCCCCACCAAGATTTATAGAAAGACAGCAGCTCCGATCACACTTTAAGCCCAAAACCCAGCCTGAAGATGGCGAGCGAGACCTCGCTGAAACGTTGCCAAGACAATCTCAATCTTACATGGGAAAAGACCCGAATACAACAAGACCAGCATAGATATAGATATATAGATATGAAAATAAGACCCTGTTCTTATTTTTGGGGAAACATGGTAGTAACATGGCAGCTATTTGTCGCAGAGTGAAGGATTTACTTAGTCACTTTAACTTTTCCAGCCTATTTCTTCTTACTCAAATAATGTTCTTGGTGCTGTTGATGTTATGAACAAGCATTGAGGGGAGTTTTGTGCTTTAAAAGGTGTTTTTTCTATAAGAAATAAATTGTGATCAAGATAATTGAGTTTCTTGTTTCATTCTTCAGTGGAAAGGAACCACCCAGCCCATGAAACTGAATACCCGCCCTTCCAATGGGCTTCTGCGCCATATCTTACAGCAAGTATATAACCACTCAGTGACGGACCCAGAAAAACTCAACAACTATGAACCCTTTTCCCCAGAAGTGTATGGAGAGACTTCTTTTGACTTAGTGGCCCAGATGATAGATGAAATAAAAATGACTGAAGATGACCTCTTTGTAGACTTAGGCAGTGGTGAGTGCTCACTATCCAGTTCTCTCTCCTGACTCGACTCAAAATAGTTCAAGCAGAATTGTTACATGTTTTCTGAATAACTAATCTGTAGCTGGAAATTCCTGTTTTGTTTTACTGGCAAATTATGTTCTTTGGCATTGACTTTTTTCATGTCTTGGTGAGCTGCAGCCCTGGCTTCTAATAGGCAGTACCAAGTTGAAATATAATTTACTGTAACGCAAAGCTTGGTGCCTGGAATTGGAAACCATAGTGGTTTTTCCCATTTTGACATGATGGAAATAGATCATAATTGTGGCAGTTGACATCATCAGTGTCCAACTAGGCCGCTGAGAACCACAAAATGAGGGCAGTAACTAGAGAGTGTGGGGGTGGGGGTGGAAATAAAAATAATAACATGTGACATCAAGCTCTGGCCAGCCAGCGGTTGTGATATTATGTCTCTAGCATGTGTAGTTTTAGCCCTGTGAATTTATTTTTGCCTTAACAACTAGTACTTCTCTTTAAATCGCTGGGTGGCTCCAATACTATATTCCCCCTGTGGGCTCCTCTGCTTCCAGGAAGTGCTTGGATGATTTGTTTGCTTTGAAAAGACCTAAGTTTAATATTTCTTGCAATTGCAAATTTTAAAATAGTGTTGCCGGTTTTGACTCAACCTAGAGCCCTAAAATTCACTTAAATAGAATCTAGTAGTTGGAGAAGCAGGAACTTTAGTTAATGCAGCTAATAACATTTATATCACCCTGTCACTGTCAATTCACCCAGGGAAAACAGTCAGCGGGTGGCTGTTGTGGGTATTTAGGGTGGGGCTGAACCTTTCTTTGTTGAAGAGCAGTTCCTTGTGCCATACGGCAAACCCACAGTGAAACTGAGAGGAATGTTGCAACCAATATGGGGGGGGGGGGAAATCTACTATGCAATCTGAAGTTGTTGTGTTCATCTAGAGTAGGTTTTTGACTGAATTATTCCTTCTCTTGCAGCTAGGTAATTAGTTAAGGAACAGAGGAGAATTAAAGTTTCCAGAGTCTGTCTTTAGTCTTTGAGCTCCCTGTTGATTCTGCTGTACAGATTCTTAGTTTTCCAGCTATTATGTCATGATAGCATGACATCTTAATATATTTTTGACTAATGTATTTCCCTACTGTTTCTGGGCAGGCAGTAGAATTAGCAACAATGTCATGCCTTGCTGTTTATTATTATTGTTATTATTATCATTGTAGTTTATTTATTTATTTGTACCCTGCCTTTAATATTTTTACATATAACTCAAGGAGGTAAACATATCCAATACATCTTCCTCCTCCTATTTTCCACACAACAACAACTCTGTGAGTTTGGCAGAGGGAGGGGGGAAGTGGGGAGAGAGAGGGGGAGAGAGAGAGAGAGAGAGAGAGAGAGAGAGAGTGAGTGTAACCAGCGGGTTCAAAGTCACTCAGTTTCCTGCTATTTTGTCAATGCAGAAAGATCTACAAGTGCTTTCTTCTCTTTCTCTCTCCCCTCCCCTCTCAGTTGGTGATTGTTTTGGAGTTTTTTTTTTTTTAAAAAAAGGGAAAGCAAAGTTGTATTTGGAACATTTTCCTGAGCTGATAATATAGGGTTGTAAGCTAAATAAACCATGGCTTGGAGGAAAAGGCAACATCTGCTGAACTATAATTCTGACATATCAGTGGCATTAAGTGCACATAAATCTGTCCATGCATTTCTGAAAACAGACTTGGCTTTAAGTATCTGGACTACTGCAGTGCTGTTTTGAAAATAGCTCTGGAAACTTCAGTGGACTGAGAAATCTGACAGCCAGACATCTGTCTAACATATACAGCCTGAAATGTTTCACTCTGGTCTTATATGTCAGTTCAGCTGGTAACCTCCTTTGCTTCGAGCTCAGATCAAAGTGTTGATATTGGCATTAAAACCTATTTCTATATGTTAAATCTCCATTTCTAACGTTTCTAGTGTTAAGAAAAATCCTGGACTTCATGAACCAAAAGGCACTCCACTTTTTGAAGTACAAAATAGCATGTTTAAAAGTTCACTCATATACTTGAAGTTCGTATGTAAAATTTACTCCAAATTTAGCTTCTCATGTGACATTGTGGCAGTCCTCCTAACTGTAATACTCTGTTGCCTTCTTTTAGGTGTGGGTCAAGTTGTGCTCCAGGTCGCTGCAGCAACAAACTGCAAGCATCACTATGGTGTGGAGAAAGCTGATATTCCGGCCAAATACGCTGAGGTAACATAGGGTCTTGGGTTAAAATTGTAATATACACTATATTGCCTAAGTATTCGCTCACCCATCCAAATAATCACAATCAGGTGTTCCAATCACTTCCATGGCCACAGGTGTATAAAATCAAGTACCTAGGCATGCAGACTGTTTTTACAAACCTTGGTGAAAGAATGGGTCGCTCTCAGGAGCTCAGTGAACTCCAGCGTGGAACTGTGATAGGATGCCACCTGTGCAACAAATCCAGTCGTGAAATTTCCTCGCTCCTAAATATTCCACAGTCAACTGTCAGCTGCATTATAAGAACGTGGAAGTGTTTGGGAACGACAGCAACTCAGCCACGAAGTGGTAGGCCACGTAAACGCGTCCAACATCAGTGTGTGACCTCACAAATGCACTTCTGGAAGAATGGTCAAAAATTCCCATAAACACACTCCTAAATCTTGTGCACAGCCTTCCCAGAAGAGTTGCAGCTGTCCTAGCTGCAAAGGGTGGACCGACGTCATATTGAACCCTATGGATTAAGAATGGGAGGTCACTTACAGTAAGTTCATATGCGAGTAAAGGCAGGTGAGCGAATACTTTTGGCAATATAGTATATGTTAGAAATCTGGCCAGAGTGATTATATATGCCATCCATTTTTAAAAACACCATCTTCAACATCCAGTGCTTAGATCAGTGTTTCTTAGTCTCAGCAACTGTAAGGTGTGCGGATTTCAATTCCCAGAATATCTGAGTCAGCATGCTGGTTGGGGAATTCTGGGCGTTGAAGTCCACTGAGGTTGAAAAACACTGGTTTAGATGCTCAGTTTTATAGTCTATGGTGATGGTTAATAAACAGTGTTCCCAAGAGGAAAGAGAAAGGAAAAAACTATATATGGATCCTAGAATTATTCAGAATCTTTCTGGCTTCTAAAACTGCGTCCTACTCTCATGCATGTCGGGACTAAGAACTTTTCAAAATGGCAGCTCAGGTAAAGGTCCAATACTTTATTATTTATTAGCGAACTGCATCTTACAGTGGCCTGTTAGCAACAATTCTAACATAGAACTGCCCTTGCAGAAGGTGAAATCTTACTTGTGAAGGAGCTGCCCAATTTACCTCATTGTTGGCTGATTTTTATTTTTCCCTCATAGTGCTTATTGTCTGAATTAAGCCGTACCAGTTGTTTTAGATTTCATAGCACACTATATTAAAAGGATTCTTTTCTAAGCCAAATACAGTACCATAGAAGGTTTGGATATAACATGTAGTTAAAAGGAGGTGGCATGTGGGCACCAGAAGGCATTGGCAGGCTGGGCTTCAGTAGAATCGTGACTGGAAGAAGGGATATTGCTTCTCAGAACAATTTCCTAGGAGGTGGGTGGGTAGAATATACAATTCAGGGATATTTTTTATTACAGGGAAGGCTGTAATCGCTACCAAATTTGGCTCTGTAGCATTAAGGCCTTTGAACAGTATAGAAATCAGGGCATAGTTTTATTTGCCCTTTTCCCATAATACTCTTTTTTTTTCCTGAGGGGGTCTCTGAGCTTGCTTGTTTTCTTACAGACCTTTCATTAACCAAACTAGGTAACATCATCAGTGCTAGTAAGGAGTGCAGTTTTCTGTCACTTTATATTTTAGTGGCTTGACCTGTTGGGTTTGGTGGGGGTTGTAGACTACAGATTCTTGCTGTTGGCTTCTTTGACAGATTTCTTGATTGGGGTATTGTTTGCTTGATTGTTGGTATGGAGGAGTTAATTGATGCTAATCAGGATTCTTATTGCTGATGGAGATGTGCTTGAGTCTTTTTGTTCCTTTTTGGGCTGAGTGATAGTCCCTTTTGCATAATCTATAGATGTTGTTAATGTCCATGTGTCTATTGATGGCTGATTTGTCAGAGTGTCAGGCTTCTAGAAATTCTCTGGCGTTTTCTTTGGACTTGGCTTGGTCTGAGATGGTCACATTTTCCCAATTGAAACTGTGATTAAATCTGTCTACAAGTTGTGAAATTTAAAAAAATTCATCACGTCTTTGGACTCCTTGGTGTTTGTGGAGGCCTTTGTCAGTTTTCTGCCTGTTTTCCCTACATAGTGGTTGTTGCAGTCCTTGCATTGTATGTTGTGGATGACTCCTGTTTTTCCCCTGGGGTTGTTGGATCTTTGGGTCTGCTTAGGATGTTTTGAAGGGCTTTAGTTGGTTTGTGTGCTATGCTGATTCGATGTGGTTTTAAAGAAGTCTGCTATTGGTTTCTGAGATATTCTTGATGTATGCCAGCGTAATTCTTTTTAGGTTTTCTGTTGGTTGGGTTGTATTAGGTTGGATGATCAGGGACTTTTGGATAAAGTTGCGTGGATATCCATTATTCTTTTTTTCTTCCTTTTAACTCCTATGCCAGGTATTTTAAGTTCTTGAAAGCTTGTCTTCTGCCATTGATTTTAGTTCCCATATAAGACTAGGACACGTTTCTCTAACCCATGGCCATCTAAGCTCCTTGGCCAATAGCTCTCACAGGGATGTTTTTCTGAAATTCTGTCAAATGGAGGAATCTGGGTTGAAATCTGCACAGGTAGCTCTCAACTTACGACCGCAGTTGGGACCAGAATTGGGACTAAACTGCTAAATAAAGCAGTTTTTCAGGGAGTTAGACTTGATTTTACAACTTTTTTTATTTGCTATGAATGTTAAGTAAATCACTGCAGTTCTTAAGTGCATTACATGGTCATTAAGTGAATCTGGCTCCCCCCATTAACTTTGCTTGTCAGGCACTGACTGGGAAGGTTGCAGATGGTGATCACGTGACTCTGGGACGCTGAAGCCATTGTAAATAAATGCTGATTGCAAAGCAACTGAATTTTAATCACAGGACTGGAGGATGCAGCAATGGTTGCAAGCATGAGGGCTGGTCATAAGTCGTTTTTTTCAGTAGCAACATAACTTCAGATAGTTGCTAAACAAATAGTTGTAAGTCAAGGACTACCACAAGTTTCCTTGGGCCAAGTACTGTAGGTTGCTATTCTGTGAAAGGGACTACAAGTGTTGAATTTCTCAAGTGGTAAACCCAAAAGCTGTTCAATGTGTCTTGCTGCTAATTTCACCATGCTTCTATAAAGGTAAGATTAAATTCAGCCACCTTCCACATCTTAAAATGTTATGCTAATGGAAGTGCAAATTTGTGTATGGTAGAAGTCTCTCATTAGACACTCTCATAGTAGCCATTTTCTTCTATTTGTAGAAACACAATCTCTGGATTTCCTTTTTATTTTATAATAATAATCTATTTTTCTTTCTTTTTCTTTCTTCTACTTTTTTTAGACGATGGACAAAGAATTCAGAAAGTGGATGAAATGGTATGGGAAAAAACATGCAGATTACACAGTGAGTGAAACTAAACCACGAAGTTTCTTTTAAAACCAAGCAAACCTTTCTGATAACCCTAATGTGAATAATTACTTTTTATTTTAGTGTAGGAGTTTCTGAGAATTACTTTTGAAACCAGTTAGTGGTTGAAATTAAAGTTGGTCTGAAAAGTCAAAAGAACTCTTTTCCTTTTGGTAATGAAGAAAACTTTAATAAACCAGAATATGAATGAATCATTTGCAAGTTCAGACAACTTGTGTGCTCTTTCATTAAAGTAAAGTTACATTTATTTTTTGTCTGGACTGATACAAGTTTCGACTTGAGGCTTATGTCTTGTCCATAAAAGCCCAAATGCAGTTTTTAATCTGAAAAAATGTCTTCACCACAGACCAGGAAATGATGTACGAATATGGCCATTGAGCCAAGAGCTTAGAGGATATAGTATCATTCTGACATTTGTAAATTTTGCCTTTGAATATGTAATAAAAGAGAGGTACTTTCTTTACACTTTAGACCAGTGTTTCTCAAATTTTAAAACTTTAAGGTGTGTGGACTTCAACTCCCAGATTCTAGAACTCTGGAAGTCTACACATCTTGAAACTACCAAGATTGAGAAACATTGTTTTAGACAGGTGATTTAGAGTTTAGCATTGATATACTATCTAGGAATTTCTTCCTGTGCTTTGAGTTAAGACTTTGCCAAGTGTGAGTTATCACCACACTTGGCAAACTACACAGGGTATATTGATATGAAACCACTTAGATTTGAATGGTTGTTTCTAGAATTTTTGTCTGAAAGATTTCATTCCTCCCTCCCCTGAATGTTTTCCCTGTGCCACTTTTCCCTCTCAATTTTCCTAATAAGTTATGTTCCAAGTTATTAATAAGAAGTCTAGAAATAGAGATGGACTTAATAAGATGGCACAACTTGTAAGAAAATGTATGATCCACTGGTAGTTTATAATGTTTCCTTAAAATGCTTGGATTAGGGAGATGATCTGGTTCAATGTCTCTTTGTACAATCGTTAGCCAGGAATTTTAAAGTATTCAGCAAGCCATTGCTTATACATCACACTAATTCAAAAAAAATGACACATTAATGCTTAAGGCAGCTGTCTCCAAGGCTGGGGGGTGGGGGGATTTTTTTTGCTTAGCTATGTTGAATATGAACAGGCCATTATGTCTACTCCTACTTTCTTGATGAGGCTATCAAGAAAAAAGTCAAGTGAGATTATGTGCCATCAAGTCTCTTAGAAATCACATAAACACAGAAAAATAAGTCAAGTGAATTATTAAATCCTTTTATCCGGGATAAGAAGAGAATTGCCCAAAATTAGAATTCAGATTAAATTGGTGGGCTAGAAAAGCAGAAACCAACATCCTTCGCTGATAGAAGGTAAATGAGACATGCTATGAAGAATACGTATTCATTTGTGTAATTTATTCAGCTTATGTATCTTCCCATTTAGCTTACAATGTAGAGCAGCCTACACAATTTCCCAAAAGCAAATGCTTGTTTGTCTCTGTGTGTTTGTCAATTCATCCATCTCAATATAATAGAATGTTTTGAACCAGAAGTAATTCAAACAATGAAAATCCTGTTCCCCAGGGATTTTATTTTCCCATCCCCTTCCTTCCTTCCTTCCTTCCTTCCTTCCTTCCGTCCGTCCGTCCGTCCGTCCGTCCGTCGGCGTTCCAAATAACATCCAAAATTAAATCAGAGTCCAAGCAGGCCAAAGATCCAGAAAGGAATATGATTGCAGGCCTGACAGCTTCCTTCCTTCCTTCCCCACCTCCCTCCCCAAGTGACACTGGGCAACGAACATTTAAAAATAAAAACAATTAAAATCCCCATCTCCATCCCCTTTCTTTTTGTTTCTCACTTATTTCCCCCCTGTTAATAGTAACAACATAGCCTTCTCCCCACTCATCTACCCTGTGCAAGGACTGTTTTAACAGATCTACTCTTTTGACACACACAAAAAAAAAAGCCAGCAGAATATTTATTTGTTTCTGGATGAATATATTTACCGCCTATTTTTTGGCGGGAACTTCAGCCCGCTCAGATATTTGAAAAACCCTCCAGTCCCTCCTGTGGTTTTGAAACAGAGCCATGTTTAGCAGTGTTCCTTTTTATTTTTTATTAAAAAAAATAACTGCATGTGCTTTTCCAGGCAGAACAATTCTTTGGGAACCAAATGTATTAAACAGTGGCTGTTGGAATGAAACCATTTGTGTGTGTGGTATTATATACACAGGCAGCCAGCCAGGTTCTGGTTCTTCCTACTGTGACGGTTTGCTGTGGGTAGATTTCTTTTCTCGGATTTCTTTTTGAGCTCTAAACTCCAGAAAAGCAGGTTTTTTTGGAAAGGGGCTGGTTTCTTAATGTGATTGGCCTCTACTCTAGTCACATGTCATTTTAGTGCTCCTACTTGGGAACCCGGCTGCCTCTTTGGCTGGATTCTAGCCTTTAGTTGCCATAAATGTAATTCCCCTAGTCTTTGGTAGATAGGCCTGGCATTGGCATATGCATAGAAACCTGAATCAAAAACTTTTGCTACATTTAGAATAGTCCTGCTGAATTGGAAAATGCTGGCCGAAACAGGGAATGTTTAACCAAACAGTATTGCTGAAGGAAACACATGTTAGTCAATGGCTGTAAAAAAAGTCAGGAGTCTGGTAGACTCTTTTAATGAAGTTTGTTCAAGTAATTCTCACTTAATGACCAGTCACTTAGCAGCTGTTTGAAGTTACAAGGGACTTCTGTATGTTACTTATGACCCATTTTCGGCACACATGGTTACATGATCACATTTAAGGCACTTGGCAACTGACTTGCATTTATAGCGAATTTGCTGCATCCTATAGTCAGATGACCATTATTTTTGGCTTTTTTTTGTTTTTGTTTTGCCAAATTCCAAACTTTACTTCTGGTTTCTGACCAAAATGTCCACGTGTTCATTTAACAACCAAGGTGTTCACTTAACGACTGCTGCAAAAAGGATAATAAAATCAGGTCCACCTGTGTGGTAAGCACTTAATGGAAGCCATAACATGCAACTATAATTCTGGCCTTAATTCTGGTCATAAATAGAGGATTATCCATAATCAGAAAACAATCAAACTCTTCCTGATTTTGAAATTAGTAGCAGCAACTGGCCTAGATCCTTTAGTTAAAAGGTTGGTTATCTCTATTTTGGCATGTATTGTTGACCATGATTAAAATGTTGATGTGCCAAATCTTTTCTCTTGTGTGCCTGTTCTCACAACAGTTTGCTTCACACAGCATGTAAGCCCCAAAGTACTATTATCCTTATGTCTGGGCCCCATGTATGTGCTCAGATTCTCAATAACAGTTTTAGGTATTGGTAAATTGTACAAGCTATTGACACCATGTGCTGTGTCTCAAATATAGAATTATATTTGTGCTCCAAAGTACATTTTAATTCTGAAAGCTGAATGGTGATTGCAGTTGGTGGGCTGTTTAAATCTTCCACCGATTTGGAATTCCTGTCCTTTCCTTTTGGGACAGAATGTAGGATGGAAAGTGAGAATTCGGAATGGAGGAAAAAGTTTAAGCATCCACTCTTCAATCCTCTTTTAATAATTATACTTTGTATAGTTGTTTGTGTGTTTTTAATGTTGGAAAAAGGAAAAAAATGTCCTTTGATTTACATAGGCTTAGTCTTCTCTTGAAACAAGTAACTGGTTATATTAGAATCACAAATGAACTTTGCAAATGGATTGTGTTCTGTTTCATACCAAGTTTTTGATGCCTTAACATTCAACAATAAAAAAACATAGATTTTTTTCTCCCTCTTCTCTATTCTGTGTTGTAATAGATATGTTTGGATTAGACATCTAAAAAGCGGCTTAGTTTACATTCAATTTCAAGTGCCTTTTTTCTTTAATCCATTTTTAGCTGGAAAGAGGTGATTTCCTCTCAGAAGAATGGCGAGACAGAATTGCAAACACAAGGTACGGCTTTAACTTGTTTTCCAGGGCTGCCATCCTAAGTATAAAATTGTTTGATAAAAAGTCAGTCTCCTCTCCCATGTTGAGGATTGCTATTCAGTATCCCATCTGCTCCATTGATTCGTTAGCAAATAACATTAACGTTCCCTATTTCTTGGAATTTCAGGGATAGTATTCACAGGGACCGGGGGATATTCTGTATGTGAAAACAGTGTAGAATTTAAGCATAGCTTTCATGGTATTGGAGTCAGTTCCCCAGGGAGGTGGTGGACATCCATCCCTTTGATGGATATATCCAGGCATAGCCAATCATTCATCGGTTGGGAATGCTTTAATTTGGACTTCTGCCTTAAGTAGGGGTTGTATTAGATGGCCTAAATGATCCCTTGATTTTATTATCTTTATATGTTTATGTACAAAACTAAATGAAGCCAAAGGATATACATTGCTGTTCAATGGCTGATTCATGATTGCCACAATATAGCTTCAGAGCAATAGCAATAGCAGACTTATATACCGTTTCACCGTGCTTTACAGCCCTCCCTTAAGTGGTTTATAGAATCAGATCATTGTCTCCAACAGTCTGGGTCTTCATTTTATCGATTTTGAAAGAATGGAAGGCTGAGTCAACCTTGAGTCAGTCAGGATTGAACTCCTGGCAGTGTTCAGAGTCATCGTGCAATACAGCATTGTAACCCATGCACCATTACAAGGAGGCCCTCTTTTCTGAAAAATTATCTCAGCCCATTCTTTTAAGTATTTTTAATTGTACACCGCCCAGAGTTGCTTTGAGAATGTGGCGGGTGGTCTCTAAATTTAATAAATAAATAAAATAAATTCCTCTGCCTATGCAGGCAAAACCTTTTAGATCAGAAGTCTCCAACCTTGGCAACTTTAAGCCTGGCGGACTTCAACTCCCAGCTCCCAACTCCTCCAGGCTTAAAGTTGCCAAGGTTGGAGACCCTTGTTTTAGACATTAGATGGGATGTAGAAGTTCTGTTCTCTTAAGGCTGTGTCATTCTAATATGCCAAACTCCCGTGATCTCTCAAACATTAGTTTCCATTAGTGTAAGTTCTGTGGAGTATTATTTGAACATGGATACTTTTCTGAAGAAGAAATTCTCACCACTAAATAAGGGAATGAGGCTTTGGTCTGTTTCTTTTTGGAAAGATTTCTCTGAGTTTAGGTCAGGGAAGAGTAAATAATCTAAATTCTAGTACAGGGTTGGACAAAAATGTAAATCCAGATCTGTTGATAGATCTCAGAAGGAATTATAATGAGATTAAAAAAGGATTTATATATCCCAAATACTTAATAACGGCAGCAAAACGGCAAAGAAGGCTTCCGTTCTCAGATATACTGCTGGAATTAAAAATCCTTAAGGAACCTGGTTTGCATATTGATGAAGAAGCTTCTGTGAGCTTTATTTTCAGTTCTGGTACTCAAACCAAAAATCTGGGCTTGGAATTCTTTAATTGACTTGAATTTAGTTTGTGCCAATTTCAGTTGGTAGAACTCTAAAAAAGGAAGCTCCAGAAAACTAGAGAAATCACATAGGTTTCTTGAAGTTGGTCTGCTTTCATTCTAGTCCTTCTCCTTCCTAAAATTTAGAAGAAAATAAAATTGTACACTGACACATAATTAATTGCTATTACAGTCCCCTTTTTATACTGCATAGTTGTGGTGAAGGCATTTTATCAAAAGCCTAATAGGTAGTCCTTTACTTTCGACCAAAGTTATCATGGACCTACCTTGGGACTACTTATGACCCAGACAGACTCGTTTCCCCCTCCCCCCCATCACGTGACTGAACTTATGGGTGCTTGGAATGGATGGATTCATTCACTGCCATTTGTATATGCTGCAGTCACATGACTCTTTTTGGAACATTTTTTGCTGAAAAGTACCACTCCAGTTTTCAGCAAAACCGCTCCAATAGCAAACCATTGGTTTACTTAACAACCACAGGGGGCTTGCTTAATGACTTGCAAAAAAAAAAAAAGGTTATAAAACCAGGGGAGTCATGTGACCAATCCATTTTACAAACCTTTGTGACTCACCACCATGATGGGGCAGGCAGGCTCCATTACGGTCATAAGTCAAAGACTTCCTGTATTCAGTTCTTTTACAAACAAAGGAACACTTTTGTAAGTTTCTCTGGCTTTATTTACTATAGTTAGTTAAATTTTGTAAGAGGTAAATATTCCCCTCTCCAGAAATTTTTTTAAAAGCTTAATGGGAAGATGATTTTTTCCTTGTTTTGCTTTGCAGTGTTATCTTTGTGAATAACTTTGCTTTTGGTCCTGAAGTGGATCACCAGTTGAAGGAGCGATTCGCAAACATGAAGGAAGGTAATAAATCCAATATTATCTGATCAAGATTTTCTTCAGTTAAATATACATAGTACATTCATACCTACATACATACAAAAACCAAGCTGGAATGCAGCTACAAGTATGGGCTGGGGGTTTGACTTGTGATTGTAATCATAAAGTTTATGTAAACTGACTGTCAAATGTTGCTTCCTACAGCTGATGTCTTTTACTTTACCTTTTCTTGGCTTTGTCTCTTCTAAGATTGTAAGCTCCCCGAGTTACCTTGTATGAATGTTAACTCATAAAGCTTTATACTGTATATATGGCAGCAATCAGTATTAGCAATAATATCAGGGATTTCATATTCTTCATATCTTCCGGATATATTGAATGATGCGGTTACATAATTTTAGGCTCTGAACTTCTGAGCGTTCTCCTCTTTAGCAAATAACCTTTACGTGCTATTTTTACTACCCCTCTCTTTCTCCCTCCTTCATTTCATTGAACAAGGCCTTGGGCTTTTGACCTGTTTTTAAATTTACCTTGAACCAATAATATCATTTGACCTTGAAACCCATGTAAGCTATTTGGCTTTCTCTAAGAGAAACATTAAAGCTCTATGAAGAACTCTCTGTTAATAATCTCCTCTTTAGCATCATTTGTGCTATAACCACAAATTTTAGAGTTCCTCAAATTCCTTTGAAAAGAAACCAGAGGAGTTTTGTTTGATGCCAGCTATAAGCCCTTTAATACAGTACTGAACCCCCAGAATGGTGAGTGCCCACTTCAAAACTCATGTACCAGTGTGCTTTCAGCATAGATTACCGTAGGGTCCTTGGTACTCTCTGAGCTTGTTTGTTTTCTTGTAGACATTTCATTAGTCAACTAGGTAACATCATCAATGATGATGAAAGAAGTGGGATTTGCTCTCTGTTTAGATATGTGGCTTACCCTACCAATATTGGTGGGAGTGTATCTTAATTAGGTAATGTCTGCAAAAAAACCATCTTTGAGAGTGCCTTGAATTACAAATATATATTTTTTCCTCTTAGCATATATATGTTATTTTCTCTACAGTGAGGGTTGTGGGGTAGTGATCAAAGGAATCAGATTTTGATCAGGGCCTTGAGATTGTGACAATGGTTCCTTTATTTGCCATCTTTATATATTCACATTAAAAGGGATGAGTAAGAGTTCTTGGCTATGTTTGCATTTTCCACCTGAGCCTGGTAGCCTTATTGGCTAGCTGCAGCTTTAAGATGAAGACAAGGTGCTTAGCCAAAGAGTGGGAGGCACCTCAATTTAGCATCATTAGAGGAAATTGTTGAATTAAATAAGCTTGATCTGATCTGTTAGGGCAGCTTTTAAGTCCTGCTCTTGGAACCAGCACTCCAGTCTTCATCCTTAACAAGAAACCTGATTTAGGTTTGCCTTACCTTAGAATTTATCTTAATTACCAAGGGAGAGATTTGCCATCTGTTCTTGAAATGTGATCCATTGCACAATCCCAGAGCTATACAATTTCTCCTCTGGTGCTTATTCTAAATAAAGCTTTTTTACTTCACCTGCAAGGGAGCTGCCCTGTATTCAAATCCTCTTGGGTGTGGCCTTTGGAGTTATTTTATAGCCATCTGTTATAACCCTTTCATTAGGCCATTCATTTCTTAAGCCATCAAGCTCTCTGAAAGCTCCCCACATTGTCAACCAAAAACTTTTTAAAATGCAGATTCACAGTAAAGCTGCTGAGCTGGTTTCCTTACAGATGCAGTGCTATTAAGACATGCCCTGAACAGGGATTAGGAAGGGCTGAGTAATTATCTCTACTTAACCATTTTACTCATCTGTTACAGCAAAACAATGAAAAGTCATGTAGCACCTTTTAGGCTAAATTCTTGAATGGCTTAAAGCTTTCACTGACTGTAGTCTAAGGCTGCAGCCCACTCCTTTCACCAGATGCCTTCAATGTTCTGCTGAGTCATAACATGCAGTTAGAGGGATTGTCAGCTGTGAGGAAAAATATATATGCATGGCTAATAAAAGTACATGTATGGTAATGCATTTGGGCATCGAGCCATGCTTATTGTGGCCATTTGGGTACATGAACATTTCCAAGCCATTATCCGGAGCTATAATTCATCCAGAGGTTTAGCGTTGTCTCTTTTGTCCTGACATCCAATGATCCATATCACTGTTATAGTCCAGCTATTTTATGAATTTTTCCTTTATTTTTCTTAATCTTGAGATGGTCAGACCATAGACCATATGCATCCCGCTATAGTCCCCTATTATCCCAATGCCTTTTTTTGCTCTGTGTTGTTGGAGATTTGGGGAGAAGATGAAAGGGAAATGGGAAATTTGTTCCTGAAAAGTACAACTTCTTCTGTTGCCATTCTGTTTCATGGAAGGGTTTACATAGCAAAAAGATCAAACCTCAAGGTATAGATTTTGCCCCTTAATCCTCCAGTTTCAAATAGTCAAACCTGCCAACCCTTTGCTGGCCCAAGGAGCCAAAGCAATTAAAATGCGGTCCTCCTAATATAACAAAAAATGTTCACTGAATCACATTCATTGTGCTGATTGCTTTTTTGAAGAACAGAAGATCCTAAGAGCGATTCTTTATAATGTCCCTTTTCATGCAAGCAGTAAATCAGGGGTGTCCAACCTTGGCAACTTTAAAACTTGGGGGTTAGGTAATTCTGGGAGTTGAAGTCCCCAAACTTAACGTTGCCAAGGTTGGACATCCCTGCAGTGAATTATCATTGGGGCTTTCCATAAACATCAATTTAATGTTGGATAAACGTCTGTCTTCCCCAGTTCGTTGTTTTTTTTCCAAGAAGATAGGTAGTTCTGCATCCTTTTATTTTCTCCTGTGGTCTCTGTCATATTCTTGCAGTTTAGTTGTGTTTCTCAGCCTCTGTTTTCCCTGTGTAACAGGGCGGTTTTGAAGGATTGTATGTGAACTGAAGATGAATATATACATATACAGAGATTTGTTTTTCAGAAGAAACTGATAGTTTTAGGGTTTGCTCCTTTCCCTTTCCTTCAAGTATTTAGACAGAATCTGAGAGTTCTGGTTGCCAATTTTATCTACAGGTAGTCCTGGACTTACAACCATAATTGAGCCTAAGTTGCTAACTTAGACAGCTGTTAAGTGAGTTTTGCCTCATTTTAGAACCTTTTTGATCACATGACCATGGGGGGGGGAACGCTACAGTGGTTGTATGAAAACCGTTATTAGTCATTTTTTTTCATTGCCATTGTAACTTCAAATGGTCACTAAACAAATGGTTGTAAGTCAGGGACTACCCGTGTGTCAAACGTATCCTCTGTTACAGTGTTTTTCAACCTTTTTTGTGCAAAGGCACACTTTTTTCATGAAAAAAATCACGAGGCACACCACCATTAGAAAATGTTAAAAAAATGTAACTCTGTGCCTATATTGACTGTATATAAGGTGTTTTTCCCACGGCACACCTTACACTATGTCACGGCACACTAGTGTGCCGCGGCACAGTGGTTGAACAACACTGCTCTGTTATTATATTCAGCATTCATATATATCATTTGAAAATATCACTGACATCTAAAATCACCAGATACATTAAGCTCATCGGGGAGGGGCATCCCAAATGAAAAGATACATATATCTTTATGACACAGAAGTAAATAAATTTACACATTTTTTTCCTAATTTGTCAAGGAAATTAACCTGTAGCATAATTTTTTTTCCAGGTGGTCAAATAGTATCCTCAAAACCTTTTGCACCATTAAACTTTAGAATAAACAGTCGAAACCTGAGTGGTAAGTTTTGGTTTTTTTCTTGTGTATTTTCTGAGAGAGAGAGAGAGAGAGAGAGAGAGAGAG